TGAAGAAGGCAGCTTTACAACTGAAAATCAACAAACACAAAGAACTTTACACGAGCATGCTCAATGACATGAAAACCTTGGACACCAACCTTTGCAGCAAACAGGACCAAGTCACCATGCTGCAGCAGCAATTGCAGAGTTCTGTTGTTGCGGAGGTCGCGGAATCCAGGCTTGACATTGAAAATGCTCTTGTTAAGAGTATTGATCACATGCCTCTGGAGCAGCTGGTAGCCTTTCGTGAGCGTTTCTGTGGCCTTATTGATGAAAAAGCTTCCCTGAAGAAGCAGTCGGAGCTGCCAGATGCTCACATGCCAGATCAGGCCTCGCAGGCTTCCCAGCGAGGCCCTCCAGGAGGAACAACAGAGGAGCCTGCTGCCAGGCGTGACGGCAAAGGCCGTTCCAGAAGCAGGGGCAGGGGAGGTACTGGGTCAGAGCAGGGTTAGGGTTTTGGGAAGGGTGTTCTTGAGTTCGCTTCCGGGCTTGGGGGTTCATTGCATGTCGGGGATAGCCGTCCTTCTCTTGTTGGAGAATGCAGCAATGAATCCAACCTTGTTACCAGGCGAGCCGAGGCCCCGCTTCCCCCCACCGTAGCTTTGCTTGATCGGCCTCCCAGTGTGCTTTCGGATACATCCGTTGTGCAGCAGCCTCAGTTTTTGCCAGGGTTTGCACCTGTTGCTGGTTTGCAGCAAAGCCCTCCGCATGCATGTATAAGTTCTTGTTCGGACCAGTCCGTTTTCCTTGAAACTTTAAGGCGTGGGGAAGGTGATCAAAGTTTGCAGCTCATACTTGCAAGTGCGGTGCACCAGTGCCCAGAGTGTCTGTCCCCGTTGGCTGTCGCAATACATGTGAGCCACGTGGGTGTGCACGCTAGGGGTTCGGGTAGATGCAGCTCCTGTGGTGGCCAGGCCGCGGCAGTCACAAGCTGTGCGGATGGTGGTCCAGCCGAGCCTTCGCAAGAGCAGAGTGCGTTTGGGTTTTGTTTGGCTCCTGGTAAGGGGTCTAGGGTTGGTCAAGGGTGCTGGGAAAATTCTTCTGTGCAATGCGCATGTTGCCTTGTGTCCCTGCCCTCCTCAAGCCCCGCTCTGATTTCGTCCAGGCAGCCGCTGTGTGAGCATTGTTTTGCATCCCTCGAAGTGTGCAGGCACCGTCCCACTTTGGCTGCTCAGGATAGTCACCGTTCGCAGCCCAATTCCGTGATGCCAGGGGGCGCTGAGGGCCATGATTTTTCATTTGCACTCCCTAACCCGTGCGCCCCTGCTTGTTCGGCGGGCCCTAACCCCAATTTGCCGCAATCAGGTATGAGGTCCAGTGAGGCTGAGGAGGAGTGCCAATTTTGGCCTGCTTGGGAAGTTTCATGTGTGGGATGTGGGTCAGAACCTACACCGTCGGCCTCGGGATCCCAGGAGGCCCTTTTGTTTTATCAGGCTTGTTGGCGCGCTCACTGCGCCAGGCCTAGCGCTGAGCTAGCTGGTGCGATGCAGAAGTGCGGTCAATTTTGTGCCACCTGTCTGTGCAAATTTTCGTACCAGTGTGTTGCTGCTGATTTGGTGCAGAGATGCAAGCAGCCTTGCGTGATCACAGGGCCGAAATTTTTCTGGCCCGAACTTGAGTATGCTTTCTTGCAGGACTCATGGCATGATGAGGCCCCAAGTGCTGTCTGCAGTCGTGTAGGGCAGTCTGGGCAGACAGAGCGGGTTCCCAAGTCCAGGCGCACTAGGCGGCGTCGCAATCGTTGGGTGAGGCGCGCAGCTATGCCAGTGATGGGTGGGGAACTCGAGGGGTCATGTAGCCGCTCATGTGAGCAGTTCTCGCCGGCCTTTCTTGATTCAATAATAGAGCCCCTGCCATGTGAGCAGGGTGCCCCCAAGACCCAGGAGGTGGAGGTTACGCTCAGGAGTTGGAAGATGCATCAGGAGGGTGGGCCGCTGGCCACGGGTCTTGGGGGACCGGAAGGGGGGCCCTGGATGCCTGCTGCGGGCCATTGGTCTGAGGCAGGGCACGGTAACACCTCTTTGCATTCTGATGTGCGCCCTGTTGGCTGCACTCAGACTGTTTCCCAGGAGTCTTCTTGTGGTTCCCTTGATGTGAGCTTTGACGGTGGCACTCCCACAAGTTGCCAAAAATCGGATTTTGAAAATCTTAAAGCTGCGGTTCTGGCTGGGGATGCTCCGTCCATCTTGAACTTAGTCGAGTCTTTTGAGCAACAAGCCCTCATCACCGACGGCACTTTTCATTGGAAGGTTGTGGAGCTTGCTGTGGAAACACAGGAGGACGTGCCTCCACATGTGGCCGGCTGGGCAATTGACGATGCCCTGGCAAACCTTAAGGACCCGAAATATCGGGATGACTTGTGCATTGTCACGGCTAATGTCACGTCTTGGAGAAAGGACCTTTGCCCCTGGGTTGCGAAGCTCGGTGCCTCGGTCGTGATGTTACAAGAGATGCATTTGTCCCCGGATCAGCCCGATTTGATTGAAGGCCAATTGGGGGTTTATGGGTTCAATGTGTTTAGTGTGCCGGGGCAGCCCACGGGCCGGGGCGGCACATCAGGCGGAATGGCAATTTGCTTTCGCAAGCACCTGAATGTCCGGCGTGTGCATCAGTTTTTCAAGGCCGGTGCTGGGTTTCAGGTTGCGGCTATTCGATTGCGGGACACGGATTGCTACCTAGTTAACCTTTATTTGAAGGCTGGCGAAGGCTTTCAGAGTGCCACCAACTCGCAAATTTTAGCTAACCTGCTTGCCTTTCTTACGTCGGCCCGGGGCATTTATTTTGCTGCAGGCGACCTGAATGAGGATTTTGAGATCATAGCAGCCAGCAGTTTTGCTCAGGAAGCCAAGGGCCATTGGATCAGCAGTGGAGTCCACGTGTGCAGGGGGAGGCAATATTGACTTTGGACTCCTTTCCCCCATATTGGCTGTGGGTGCTAAGTTGGCTGTTGATTGGGACACTCCTTTTGCTCCACATGCGGCTTTGCATTGGACATTGCAGCTTGAGCATTTTGATTTTAAGCTGCCGCAGTTGGTTGCCTTTAAGCCTGCACCGTTACAGCCCCAGCCCTTTCTCTCGAGTGTTGTCGCTGACCCTCGTGGTGAGCAGGTAGCTCTCCAATCCCAGGAGGAGTTGCATCTGCTTGGGACTGAGGTCGCTGAACCTGGACTGAGTGCGCTTTTTGCCAGCCTTAGTAAGGATGTTGAAGTTTCGATCTATGGGTGTAGTCAAGGCCGAGGTGCCAAAGTCCAGGTCTGCAGGATCGGGATGCCTTTCAAGCTGATTTTCAGGTTCTTTTGGAGTCAGGGGATGTGCGAGTGTTGCCTGAACTGCTTGCAGCTGCGCAGAAGCAGCATAAGGCCCATCAGCAACAATGGCAGCAAGAGAAAAGCGCATCATATGGTCAATGGCTCCGGCAGTCAACTCAAAAGGGCATGCGGCCATTGTTCCGAAGTGTTAAGGCGGAGGAGGTCGTAACTGTTCGGCCCTTCCTTGATGCCCCCGTGCAAGAACGCATTTACTTGAGGTGGAGGCATTGGTTTGAACTGTGGTCTCATCCAGCTGGGGTCGACCGTGATCTGCTGGCCTCCTTGAAGCAGGCTGCTCAGGAGCAAGCCCGGTTGTTGCATCCGATTGACTTGGAGCGGGCAGTAGGGTTTTTCAGGAAGGTTCCCACCAAAGCGCCCGGCTTGGATGGTTGGACTTGTGAGATGCTTCGTAACCTTAGTGTTGAAGCTGTGCAGGCCATTCTTGAATTCTTCCATCACTGTGAGCGCGAGGCTTCTTGGCCGGACCAAATGGTGTTTGCACTTATAGCCTTGTTGCCTAAGTCTGAAAAACGTGAGCGACCCATTGCATTGTTGCATATCCTTTATCGTGCTTGGGCCAAGCTTCGGTGGCCTTTGGTTGCCACGTGGCAGGCTGCTTATGCTGCTCGTGCCACTTGGGACAAGGCCGTCCCGGGCGGCCAGGCGCTTGACGTTGCACTGGCAAGGTTGATGCTGGGTGAGTCGGTGCGGCGGTGCAAATCCCACCTTATAACACTGTTCCTAGACATGGAGACATTCTACGATAGGTGTGTTTTTGATGACATCATTCGCTCGGGATTTTCTTTGGGATACCCTCCTTTAGTTTTACATCAGGCCTTGCTTACTTACATGGGGCCTCGCTTTGTTCAGTCGGAAGGTGCATTGTGCCCTCCCATTTGGCCGGGGAGGGGAGTTCTGGCGGGCTGTCCAGCGGCGCCGTCGGTATCAAAACTCGTCATCCACCCAGTTGCTGAAAAGTTGGCTTCAAAGAAAAGTGCATGCAACCTTGACATTTGGATTGATGACCTGTCGCTTGATTCGGTTAATAAGTCTCCGGTGCAGGTTGCCAGTGATTCCCTTTTGCTGTTCAGGGCTCTCCGACGGGATTTGGAAGCTAGGGGAGCTCAGATCTCAATTACAAAAACATGCTTTGTGGCATCGTCGACGGAGGCGGCCAAGGCCATGAACAAAATTCTTGATGCCACTGATCCTCAGGTCAAATCGATGACTCGGGACCTTGGTGTGACTTCAGCCGGTGGTCGCCGACGTGTTTTGGGGCTTGCGGAACAGCGCAGGAAAAAGGCGGCCGGCAGGTCGCGGAAACTCAACCGTTTGGCCATCCCGGGGAGGGCGCACCGTTTGCGCATCGTGAAAGCATCCTTGTGCTCGGCTGGCCTCTGGGGCCATCAGGCGCAGGGAGTGAGTCCTAAACGCCGTAAATTCTACAGAACGCTCATCGCTAAGCATCTCGGCAGGCATAAGCTTGGATCACTTGATCTCACTTTCGTTGTCAACCGACGGCGATGCGAGGACCCTCACCTCACCTTGTTACGGCAGCATGTTCGTGCTGTGGCTAGGGTTTTCCGCCGGTGGGTTTTGGTTGACCCGGATAAATTTAAGTCTACTTGGGTGAGTATTTGGTTATGGCTCTCGCCGTCGCAACACCCGTGGAAACGGGTTAATGGGCCGCTTGCGGCTTTGATGGCTTACTTGATTGAGCTGGGGGTGCAGGCGCCGCAAGCTCATCATTGGCAGTGCGGAGACAGCACCTTGACCATTGATTGGGCGTGCCATGATGCTACTAGGAAGGTTTGGCATTGGCTTTTGCCACTGTGGGAAACTGTCCAGTTGCAGAGAGTGTCCCTCTTAGAAGGTGCTAGGGATCTGGGTTCGGGATTAGACCTCACCGTCCCTAACCGCCTCCTTCGACGTAGGTTTTTTAACAAGTACATGGCAGTGAACTTGCAAGCACTCTGGCAAGGGGCCTTGATTGGTCAGTCATGCCCGGGGTGGTGCACTGTTTGTAATTGCCCACTGAGTTTGCAGCACGTTCTTTGGGACTGCCCTTTTATCACGTCTAAATACCCTGAGCCTTCACATTTCCGTGCCGCCCGCGTGAAATTCCCATGGCCTTGCCTTTGGCTTAGGGGTTTAGTCCCTCAGGCAGCGACTGGTTTAAAAACTGCGAAGGGCTCCTCGGGTTTAGTGTGTGAGGGTTTGTGGCAGACACAACAAGTACTTAGCAGTGATGATCTGGTGTTTGCTTCAGACGCTTCAGGTGGCCCAGGGGGCCGGGACCTCCGTTCTGCTTGTGTGGCTTGGGCCATTGGGGCCTATGAGATCACGGATGATGGGCCCCGCCGTGTTGCGAGCATCACCTCTTTTCCGCAGCGGCCCTTGTCGGTTGCGGGGGCGGAGCAGCAAGCAGCCTATGAACTTTTCGCCCGCGTCTCAGGTACCTTCGACTTGACGGTGGACTGCAAAGCTGTTGCTCAGGTTGTAACTAAAAAATCCCCGCCTTTTGAGGGACCTACTCCATGGGGTTTGGTTTGGTCTGAGCGAGCTAGGGCTCGCATTACCTGGGTGCCCAGTCACAAAGATCCCAAGTATTATGCTGATAGGGGCATTCCTGAATGGAGGCGTCGTGTCAACGCAGATGTTGATGCACTCTGTGGCCAGCGCGCTGCTGGGGTTTTTCAGGCTGCAACCAAGCCGGACCTAGTCGGCTTAGATACGCTTTGGGAGGAAGTTTGTTTGCACTTGGCCAGGAAAATTGGGTTTATCCTTCGGCATAAAAATGACAAATCGTTTCCGTGGCTTTTCCAACGTTGCAAAAAGGAATCTGGTGATTCTTCTTGCAATAAAGTTCTCCCTAACCCTGTGTTTTCTAAAGGCAAGGGTAGGTTGCCTCAGGAAACAGGTTGCAGTGTCCCTAAACCTGAGGTTTCCCCTAGCGCTGCAACTGGTGCTACCAAGGCCACCAAACCTCTCAACAAGAAGCAGAGAATGTTGGCGAGGCTTTCAGGCGACGAGGATTCACTGGGTCACCAGTGGGTCAAGGGAGCCGAGGGCTCCACCAACATGACCATGAAGTGTGCAATTTGTGGATTGTACTTGCAGCAAATCAACGATTTGCCCAGCTTCGATCGCCTTATGCATCACCCGTGTAAGCGTAGAGGCGACCCTTTGCAGCAATGGAATATTCACAGCTCGCATGACATGATCAACATGGGAGTGCAGTGGTCGTGTGCTAAGTGTGGCAGGTTGCAACGGCCACAGCATGCTACGGGAGCCAAAAACCTTCAAAAACCGTGTGATGGCAGGGCTCCTGTCAGTCAGTTGGGTAAACTTGCGCAGAGTGCCGGCAACCAGTCTTTAAGTGACACAGCGCCAGCCATTCCAGCGCAAAAGGTGGCTGTCCCTTTTGGCACTAAGAAGGGTGAACAACAAGCCGTTGATAAGGGACCCAGGCAGGCAACTCTTAAGTTTGGTTCACCTCCTGCTGTTGCCCCGAAAGGTAAGTCCAAAAAACAAGCGGACCAAAAGCAAACTAAGCTAGCCTTTAGCCAGGGTTCTAATCCAGCCTCTCCCCGGTAGTTTGCAGCTTTTGCGCTCCCACGGTGAGCAGCACCAGCGCAACACACCGAGGATTGATGAATATGTGCACGTTTCTCTTCCAGTCTTGAGCCTTGCGGGTCTCTTGGGCAGTTGTGCTGTCTTGCGCTCCCACGGTGAGCAGCAGTAGAGCCACACTGCCAGGGTTTGATGAATATGTGCACTTTTCTTGGATACAGGCTTGAAGGCTCTTGGAGTTCTGGCCTTGTGCTGGCCAAGCAGGGAGAGTTACTCACAGGTGCTCAGCGGGGGTCCACTTGGGCCCAGCGCTGCCACACTGGTTTTCTTGAACTTCGAGGCGGTTCCAGAGCCTTACGGAACCGAGTCAACGCTTCACTGGCGCTAGAGTGGTGCGGCCATCGTAAGATGTCTGTACGACTTTAGCTGGCGTTGTACAGTTAGCTGTAGTTCCACGGTAGTCGCTGTGTACAGTCGTAGGTGGGCTGCCGGCAGCTGGAACTTGGGAAGCTCGGGGATGCTTCCGCTTCTTGCCTTTTGTCTACAGTGTTCTCTGGAGGTTGCCATTCCTGCCTGCATGCCCGTTGAATTTGTGGCTCACTGGCACACCTGCAGGGCACTGTTTTGCGACACTTGGTCCAGTGGGACTCGCGTGCAACAGCTTTGCCTCGTTACTTTCGGGTGACGGGGCAAGGCTTCCGTAGGCAGGTAGTCTCCTCTGTAGATCAGTGTTTTAGGTCTGTTTTCCACTTAGCCTTGGAGCTGCGACTGTCTGCTCGCTCGGGAAGAAAATTCCTTTTGGCTCAAGCTGTGGCGGTTCAAACTGGCGAGTGGACGCTTGTTGCCGACGTGGCACCCAGGTTTGAGTCCGTATCTAGACTGTGGGTCTCGACAGGTCTCAAACATCAACCACACGTTTGCTCGTAGGCTGCCTGTGCAGCGCGGGACGCGTGGGGCGGGGTAGCGGCAGTTCCAGGTTTTACCTGAAGTGCGTAGCTGAGCCATTTGCACCGAACCACTGCTTGAAACAGCTTGCAAACTCTTCTTGCACCTTGTGAACCAATCCTTGTTTTTGTGCAGAAATTTGGATTTTGGGCCTTGCAAAATTGCCCGTTTACTTGTTGCAAAAGTACAGTTGGGGAGTTTTTCTTGCAGGCTTCTTGAAAGGAGGCCATCGCAGAGCGCGCAGGCCCACACAGGGAAGTGATGCCAGTCAAGATGTCCAGGCATTACACCGTCTGTGGCTGCGGATCGTGGGTGTGGACGGATCGGATTGGCCCTCACAGGCCATGTTGCCAGCAGTGTGGCAAACGCTGGCCACAGAAAGGACCAAAGCAGGGAACGACGCAGGATCCGCAATGGGGTCCGTCTGTGAGAGTGTGGAGGTCTCCCGCTGCTGCACAGCAGCCCGAGTCCAAGACGCCGAGACCCCCGCGCCAGAACCAAGCGCAGAGGGCATTGACAACCATCTGGGAATCCTTGCCTGAGCACGCGCGCCAGCAGATTGAGGAGGCGGGGTGGAGACCTAAGATCCCTCAGCCCCCGCCAGGCCTATTCAGGCAAACCAAAGGAGGTGCAGGCAAAGGCAAGGGTGCAGTTGGAACAGCGGAAGTCCGGGATGAGGCTGCTCAGGCTGAGGCTGCTCGGTCCCTGTTTGCCTCGGTGAGCGAAGAGCAGCGTGAGCTTCTATGTAAGCTTGGCATCCAAGAGCCCGAGGTGCAGCCTCCGGACCTTGCTTCATTGTGTAAGCAACACATCCGTGCCTTGCCAGCTGACATCCAGAAGCTGCTGGAAGACCCTCCTGAGCGGCCACCCACGCCTCAGGAGGTCATGAGCGAAACAAGCAAAAAATTTAAAATTGCCACTGCAGAATTGAGAGACCTTATTTTCCGCAAAGCTGCCTTGCAAGTGCGTCTTGATAAGCATAAAGAGCTGTACTCCACCATGTTGTCAGACATGAAGTCCATCAATGAATCCTTGGAGGAGCGACAAAAGCTGGTGGCTACCTTGCAAGGGGAATTGCAATCCTCGGTTGCTGGGGTCCCGGCCCCTGAGGCTTTGCCTGAGGCAGCAGAGGCTCTTGCCAAGCAGGTTGAGGCCATGGATGTTGATCAGCTTGACGACTACCGGCAGCGCCTTGTTGAAGCCATTGATGAAGCTGTAAAGCGCAGGCGCGTTGATGCACCGGCGCAGAAGGCAGCGCCGACAAGCCCTCCTCCAGCTGGGCCAAGCCAGCAGGAGGCCGCTAAGGAGGATGACAGGGAGAAGGGCAAAACCAGGTCCCGCAGCAGGGGCCGCAGTGCGCAGCAGGGTTAGGGGTCGGGGATTAGGGTTCTTGACTTCGGCGTTTCTCGGGTTGTTTCTTCGCTTTTCGGTCATAGCCGTACTTGCCTTGTTGGTGGATGCAGCGTGGAGCCAGCTCAGGAGTCAGGTCGAGGCGAGGCTCTTGAATCCCAGCCTCTGGAAAAGCTTTTGGTTGCTTGCACCTTGCAGTCGGATCAGTCCGTTGTGCGGCCACCTCAGCTCTGCCCAGTGCTTATGTTCAGCCAAGCAGAGTGTTGCCCCATCTGTGCTGTCACGCTGTGCCGAGAGCAGCCTTGTCCAAAGTTCCAGGAGTTCCAGTTTGATGCTAGTTGTGGGTCGGTGTGTGCATTGTGCCTCCGGGCGTCAGGCCGCGTGCGCAGTGGCGTATGGATACCGGCCGAGCGCAGTCGTGGGTGCGCAGGCCAGCCAGAGCCCTCTGTGGTGCAGGGGTGGTTTGTTGGGGTTTCGGAGATGGGATTGGGAGCGTTAGAAGGGGCGTTGCAGTTTGCATGTCAGGATTTGTGTTGTGCATGCTGCCACGTGCCCCTAACGAGACAATCTTCCTTGACTGAGCTTTCCTTGCCACCTTTGTGCCAGCAGTGTTTCCCGCGAGGTGGCACCACCTGTAGGCTGCAAAAACGTGCCTTTCTTGATCCTTATGTGCTTTCAGGTCAACCTGTGCACAGGTTGTTAGAATACCGAGTGCAGGCAAGTGGGTGCCGCGTCAGGCTGGTTTCGAGCAATGCTTGTTTAACGGCCGACTCGGGACCCTTTTGGCAGAGCTTGAGCAAAGATTTTGACAGGGTTTTAATTCCGAGCCCTAACCTGTGCGCTTTTCCCAGAGCTGAGGGCCCGAACCCCAATTTGCAGTTGCCAGGCCTGTGTGAGGTCGATTTGGGCAGCAGGTTGGATGCGAGTTCTGACCCGAACATGGGGATTGCCTTGGATGAGGGCTGGGACCTCAGCTCCTCGAGGGGGTGTGAGATTTCCTCAATCACCCGTGGCCTCGAGCGGGAGACAACCACGAGTGAGGTTTCATTTCCTTGCCCGAAACCGTGTGCTTCCCCTCCACCTGAGGGCCCTAACCCCAATTTCTGTTCGGCTGGGAGTTTGCCGGAGTCTTTATCAGCTGATGGCCAACTTGATCAATTTTCTCCAATACAGCCCCTGGGTCTACAGGGAGCCCCCAGGACCCCCATGGCGGTGGAGGTCTTTACCAGGAGAGGGAGTCTTCATCAGGAGGTGGGGGGGCCGCTGGCCCGGGGTCCTGGGGGACCGAATGTGATGCCAAGCAATGATGGCTGTCTTGTATTTATCCCCAGCCCTGACCCGTATGCTCTCCCTCTTGCTGAGGGCCCTAACCCACCAGTGCGCCGGACCCTTGATTATCAACTTCCGACCAGCTCTATCCGAGATCGGTGTGTGTCAATGAAGAGTTGGATCACTGCATCTTCGGAGCCTGTGTGGCATGTTTGCAAGCCCAAGTGCGGGCTCAATTCCCTCCCGAACCCGTGCGCATCCCCTCCTTCTGAGGTCCCTAACCCCAATTTGACCAGCGAGGCCCTGCAGGAGCAACTCAGAGGTCTTGAGGCGGATGGTTGGTGCATTGGATGTGGCCAATCACCGGTCTTAGGGCGTAGTTCGAACCAGGAGGTTAAAAATTTTGTGCAGGCATGCTGCCACGTTCACTTGAATGCGCCTTGTGACGAAATCCTCACTGCTCTGTCTGATGTCTTGAACTACTGCCCGAGGTGCTTATGCAAGTGGGAGGCCAAGGTCCAAACAACGTGCAAGCAGCCCAAGGATCTGGTAGCCTTGTCGGGTCCTTCATACTTTTTTGATTGCGCTGAGGCCCCGGAGCCTGATGAACTTACTGATGTCACCAGTGTGCCGCTACATGCTCAGGTTCTGCAAACACATGTTGGGGCTGTTTCCTGTAATATATTGCAGGGCAAAATTCCAGCTTCGCGCCGGACCCGGCGCCGGTACAACCGAAGGCTCCGTCTAAACCCCGATGTGCGCCCTGTTGGCAGCATTCGGGCAACCTGCCAATCTGCTTTGCATTCCTCCTCAAATGGCCATTTTGGCCTTACTGTAGACCCTCCCGAACCCATTCTTCCTGCCCTCTGTGTGGCAGGGTCTACAGTCATAAATCACTTTTTGGGGTTAGGGATGCAACCCGATGTGCGCCCCGGTGGCTGCACTCGGGAACGTGCAAACTGTGGCGATTCGCGTGATGCCATTAGCACCACGACCTTCAAAAGCTCCAGCAAACATTCACTTTGGAATGACGTCAAAATTGGCCTTGCAAATGCTGATGAGCCGGCCGTTTTGGAGGCGATCTCCCGGTTGGAAGACACAGGCTTGCTGCAACAGCAAACTTTCGAATGGAACGCCGCCGAACTGGTCATGGATTCACTTCATGGAGAATGTGGCCCAGCGGCACAATGGGCCGTGGAGGACGTTTTGGCAAACCTGCAGTGCCGCCCCAGCAGGCAACCGGTTCGCATCACATGTCTTAATGTCACCAAATGGCGTAAAGAGCTGGCTAGTTGGATTGCGAATTTAAGCCCGGACCTCGCCCTCCTTCAAGAGACCCACCTTGATGCTAAAGATGTCAGCCTTCTTGCTGCCCATGCTGGGATGTTCGGGTATGAGGTCTTTCAGTGCCCGGCTGTGGCCACGGGCAAAGGGGGCAACACCGGGGGATTGGCAATCTTGCACCGGAGACACCTCGATGTGTCACAAGTCACTAGCCACCTCGTTGAAGGTAATGGTTACCAAGCCGCCATGTTCAGGGTAAAAGGCTTTGATCTTTACGTTGTCAACGTGTACTTGAAATCAGGCGAGGGATTCCAGAGCAGCACCAATGCCGGCATCATTGCATCGCTTCTTTCCTTTGTCCGATCCGTCAGAGGTGCCTTTGCGATTTTGGGTGACTTTAATGAGGACTTTGAAACCCTAAGCTCCACCCATATTGGGGAGGAGGCGCGTGCGGTGTGGGTCGGACCAGGCACGTCCACCTGTTCTGGCGGAGGCCAAATTGATTTTGGTTTAATTTCGAATAGCCTGGCAACTTGTGCTGCGGTGCAGCTGGACTGGAACACCCCGTCAAGGCCGCATGCAGCTTTGCATTGGCAGCTTGATGTTGCCCTGTTGCATCAAAAAATGCCGCAACTCAAGGGTTTCAAGCCTGCGCAGCTCGATTCACAGCCTTTTCAGCTAAGCACCGTCAGGCCAGAGGTCACCATCTTAGATGAGCAGGTTACCGACGAATTGACACTTGATTTTGCGGCTTTAAGCTGTGCTGTTGAAATGTCCGTTTATGGCCAGGCTCAGGGAAGAGGAGCCAACATTCTTTTGCATCGCGCGCCATTGCCTGTGCAGGGCGCTCCCAATGCTGGTTGGGGAGGTAAGGCTTCGGCTTTCTGGTGCAGATTCTTAGGTTGGATCAAAGCTGTGCGCAACTCGGGTTGGCATGTGAGTGGTTTCGGGCAGCAAGCAGGAGACCAGCTCAAAGATGTATGGTATGGTGATGCGACCTCCTTACAGGATTTTGCCAGCGCGCTTGCAAATGCCAGTCAACAATGCGACCCTGCGGCTCTCCTTGCATTGGAACCTGTAGCCACCGCGCAACACAGGCATCACACCGAGGCTTTTAAGCAGGCTAACACTAAACAATACACCAAGTGGCTGAGTGCTGCCTTGGTAAAAGGTATGAAGCCTTTGTACAAATGCCTCAAAAGTACGGAATCCCCTTGTGATAGACCCTTTCGAAATCTTTCATTGCAAGATAGAGTGTACCAAAGATGGAAGCAGTGGCACGACATTTGGTGCCAGCCGGTCACTACGGACCCGCATTTGTTGGCAGAGGTCAAAGCCAGAGCTATCGATCAAGCCAAGCATTTGCCGCCCATAAATTTTGAGAAGGCTGTAAAACTTTTCAAAAAGTTTCCAGCGAAGGCTCCTGGGGCCGACGGCTGGACATCACAGATGCTAAACAACTTGAGCGAAGAGGCAGTCCGGGCTGTTATTGATTTCATGCACGCTTGCGAGGCTAGTGCAGAGTGGCCAGCACAGTTTGCCATTTCCTTGATAGCCTGCCTGCCCAAAAACACACTCCGCGAGAGGCCAATAGCCTTGCTCCATGTGCTTTACCGCTCATATGTGCGCCTCCGTTTCTCCTTGATAAACCAGTGGCAGCAGGAGTATGCTAATCAATGCCAATGGGACCGCTCCCTGCCGGGAGGAGCCGTACTGGACGTCGCATTGGGGAGACTGGTCCGGGGGGAGTGTACTCGGCACAACCGGTTACACATGGTAACGCTCTTTTTAGATTTAGAGACCTTCTTCGATCGTTGCCGGTTCGATGAAATGTTCCGAACGGGACTCAAGTTGGGCTACCCGCCCATCATATTACACCAGGCCTATCTGGTTTACAGTGGAGCCAGATATCTACAGGCCGAAGGCACGGTCGCACCGGTCATCAAGGCCAATACCGGACTCCTGCCAGGATGCCCTGCGGCACCCTCAATAGCGAAACTCATCATGCCTGATGTTGCGGCTGAGCTTAGTGTCAAACCAGGAACGTCCAACTTGGATGTTTGGATAGATGATCTTAGTCTTGATACGGTTACCGCAGCTCCCAAGCAAACTGCTAGCATTGCTTTGCGCTTGTTTCGAGGTCTTCGCAGTTCCCTGGAGTCCAGGGGTGCACAAGTTGCCATCAGCAAAACTTCCTTTGTTGCCACGTCGTCTGAGGCTTGCAAGGCCTTGAAGGCAATATGCCAACCGGATGATCCGGCCATTAAAAATTTCGCCCGCGACCTAGGGGTCACTTCCGGGGGCACTAGAAGACGGCTGTTAGGTTTAGCGGCAACCAGACAGGCCAAGGCACAAGCCCGTAATAAAAAACTTTGTAGTCTCAGGGTGCCCTTTGTGTCTCATAAGATTAGGGTGGTCAAAGCGTCAATCATGTCAGCGGGCCTCTGGGGCCACCAGGCCCTTGGGGTGAGCCCCAAGCGGCGCAAGTACTACCGCGCCATTTGCAGCAAATATGCTGGTCGACAAAAACTAGGATCGGTTGATCTGACTTTTGCCTTGAATCCTGCCAAGTGCGAAGACCCGACTTTCACCATCATGCGGCAGCATATTAGGGCTGTTTTCCGTGTCTTTAAAAAGTGGCATCGTGAGGATGGGCAAAAATTCGCCAGCACTTGGAAAAGCATATGGAATCACTTGTCCAAAGCAAAAGACCCTTGGAAGAGAGTCACCGGACCAATTGCTGCCACCCAAGCGTATTTGATTGAGTTGGGAGTGGAATGCTCACAGGTGCATCTGTGGCGGCATGCCAAAGGTAACCTTCAACTCGACTGGACCAATTCTGATGTCATCCGCAGCGGCTGGGAGTGGGTGCATAAATTACTGCTACACCAGCAAGGGCTTCGCATTGCCCAGCAAGAGGGTTGTGGTTCGCTCGATCAGGGCACTGACTTCACTGTCCACCGCAAGTTGTTGAAGCGCAAACATGTTCAGAGAGCTACCCTTAGCAATTTGCATGCGGTATGGCAAGGAGCGATGGTTTCCTCAGCCAAGCCAGGTTGGTGCACGCTGTGCCAGTGTCCGCTTTCTTTGCAACATAATCTTTGGGAATGTCCGTTCATTTGCAAGCAGTTTGATGCCGAGGAGTTTTCCGAATTGAAATCCCAGTACCCTTGGCCTTCATTGTGGTTGAGAGGCCTGCCTCCCCTTAGTGAAGTGCGGCATCCCAAACCTGCGAGTGAGCAATGCGGCTTGCAAGTCACGGGACTATGGTCGACCCAGAGTACTTTGGAAGGCAGTCGATATGTTTTTGCTTGTGATGCTTCTGGAGGACCAGGCGGCTCGGATCAAAGGCTCCTCGTAACGACTTGGTCCATAGGAGCCTATGCCTTGGTTGATGGGCAACCAAAGAGGGTTGCGAGTGCCACGTGCTTGGAGGCGGAGCCCCTGACAGTGCCTCAGGCCGAACAGCGAGCTCTTTTTGAGTTGATGCATCGTGTCACTGGCGACTTTGATGCCACAACTGATTGCAAAAGTGTCAAGCAAATCTTGTGCAAGGCCAACCCACCGCAGGAAGGTGTTGTGCCATGGGGCACGATATGGCACGAGCGCAGTCGCATCCGCTTGCATTGGGTTTCTTCACATAAAAGTGCAGCTTACTTTGAAAAGCAGGGCTGGGAGCAGTGGAGGCGCCTCATCAACGAGGACGTTGACAAACTCTGCGGGGAAAGGGCTTCTCAGCATTTCTCGATCGCGCATGCGAAGTGGCTGAAGAAATGTGATTCCGTGGTGGAACAAGTCTGCTACTCCTTAGCGCGACGTGCTGGATTCATCATTCGGCAGAGAAAGAGCCCGGATTTCCCGTGGATTTTGAATAGGGGTGCTACTGATACTGCCCCTAAGCCCCTGGTTGTCCCTAACGCCGCCTTTGTTAAGCCCAGTCCTGCCAAACCCAAAAATGCAAAAAATCCGAAGTCCAAGAAGGGGGTTTCTGGTGATAAACCTGGTCCTGGCCCAAAAACTGGTAAGCCCTTGAACAAAAAACAACGCATGTTAGAAAAGTTGGCAATGCCTGAAGATCCTCTGGGTCACCAGTGGGTCAAAGGCGCTGAAGGACCTACCAACTTGACAATGAAATGCACCAAATGTGGACTGTACGTTCAGCAAATAGCTGACCCGGCAAGCTTCGACCGTCTCATGACACACCACTGCATTGGTGGTGGTGAGATTTTGAGCGAGTGGGGCATTCATGCAACACACAGTATGGTCAACATGGGGGTGCAGTGGTCTTGTTCCAAATGTGGGAGGCTGCAGCGCCCACAGTCGGCCGTTGGAGCGAAGCAGTTGCAGAAACCTTGTGATGGGAGAGCGGCTGTAAGCCAAATCGGTAAAGTGGCTCAAGGAGTGGGCAGCTCAACTTTGGATCAGTCGGGCCCTGCGGTGCCGAAAACTAAAGCTGCTACTCCTTTTGGGTCCATGCGTGACGCTGCTGTAACTCCTGAGGGACCAAAGCAGGCCACTTTAAGCTTTGGGCAACCGGCTGTGGTTGTGACGCCAAAAAATGCTTGCAAACCCAAAGCCAAACCAAAACAAGCACAACTGACTTTCTCTTGAAAGCCGTGCAGGGCTGGTGTGCTGCTTTTGCGCCCTACGAGGCTGCATTAGCGCTACAGTGCCTTGCATGGTGGTCCGTTCAGTGCGGCCAAGAGTGCAAACTAAATTGGTGAGCCTTCGTCCTTAAGCCTTGAAGGTGCTTGTGGCGCTATGCCTACTCACCAGACGTCTTAAGACACGCAGACTTCATTTCATGGACAAGGCAGGTCGGTGGTGTGGGCACTTGGCGTGCTCATGCGACCACCCGCTGCGCTGTGTACAGTTGGCGGTAGGCGGTAGGATATAGCTGTATATAGTGTACAAAGGCTGCTGTGGTAGTCTCCCAGGCTATGCTGCTTTCGCTTGACGACGAAACTCACCTTCAACTGAGGCCCAACTGTGAGGGCCCACTGTGCTTTGAGGGGCACGTGTGGTGGCTTGTGTGCATGATCCGTTGAATACGTCACTCCCACCACTGCCTCAGCTCCGTGGTCCAGCCTGGCTGGCTTGCGTGCAACAGCAAGACTTCACGGCCTTAGGGCTATGAAGTTTTGCTTCCGTAGCTAGGCTGTCAGATCCGTAGCTCTACTGGTAGCTTTGCTTAGCTTGTACAGTCTTGGCCTAGGAGCCGCGCTACCTCTTCGAGTGCTCGGAAAGAAAATTCCTTTTGACCTTGGATGTCCTGATGTTTTCGGCATGCCTGAAGCTGTGAGGAGTGCTTTTGAGTTAGGAAGTGACTGCACGTTCGTTTCGTCTCGTTTCGTTAGTGCTTGAAGTGTTTTGCTTGGAGACAGACAGCTGCAAGGTGTTTCACTGTCAGTCAGAGCCCGACGCGACTCCGCTTTGGCTCAAGAAAAAGACCGAGTGCTGCGCGCTCTGTTTTTCACACGAGTGGGAAAAATGCTATTTCTACTGGAAAATGTGCGCTGCGCCACAGCGGGAGACACAGAACAGAACGGTTTTAAGCGTTTTACAGTAGCGCGGCGCGCAATCATAACGTGCTTTAGGCGCGTTATGATCATTTTCGCTCGCAATTTCCAAGGAAACGTCAAAATCGCAACGTGCTTCGTGCATCAAACAAAGCTTTTTAGTCTTTTTTTGTGGCGCGCGAAGCACGTTACGATTTCGAGTTTTCCCTTGCAAATGCCAGCCAAATCAATCGTAACGCGCCTAAAGCACGTTACGATTGCGCCCCGCGCTACTGGAAAATGCCCGATTTCGCTATCACACAAGCCTGGAACTGTGGAAACAGTGCGATTTCTACGCAAGATGCTGCGAGCAGAGCTGGACCTGTGAAAAATACTGCAACTTTGATGGACGATGTACTAAAGAATACCACAATTTCGCTGTCAAACATGCCTGGAAAGCGAGCCGGGACCGCCGTGCAGATTGTTTTTGGGCTCTGAGGCAAATAAACCGGAAGTGAAAGCATTAGACGTGTTTCTGCGTGGTTTTACCCAAGACTGAGACCAAGAGACCTTCCGTGTGGGCTCCGAGGCTTACAAACCGGAAAGGAAAGCATCAGACGTGTTTCTGCATGGTCTTCGCCCAAAGAAATGGGACCAAGAGACCTTTCTGGTAAGCTCCGAGGCTTACAAACCGGAAGTGAAAGCATCGGACGTGTTTCTGTGTGGTCTTCACCCAAAATGGGACCAAGAGACCTTTACGGTGGGCTCTAAGGCATAGAAGCCGGAAGTGAAAACATCATCAGACGTTTCTCTGTGCGGTCTTCACACTAAAGTGACACCAAGAAACCTTCGACTTTGTCTTCGCGCAATGTCGGAAATATTGCGCAAGGGACTGCGGGGGATGCACGGTTGGAGTGAGTGTGTGAGGGAGTTTGGGAGTCAAGAAGTGGTTTGGGTGAGCGTGTGAGTGAATGCGCAAGTCACGGAGTGTCTAATGTTGTCTCCTGATTATTAAACCCCCCTCAACCCCAATAATAACGGAGGGTCCGCCTCTCTGATCTTTAGTTGTTTGGGGGACCGGGGTCGAAGTTGTTTGGGACCCGGGGCTCTCAGTAGTACTCAGTAGTACAGTAGTACAGTAGTACAGTAGTACTGTCTCCTTTATCTTGCCTGTTTCTGTCTTTCCTCTTCCAGGGCGTCACTTTGTAGTAGGAGTGCTTCTCTGCCTAAACCTTATAAAAATTTTACACCTGGACGGGTTTTAGGACTATTGAGGGGTGTTTATTATTACGTGCAGGCCGAGTTTAGCTCTATTGAGGGGACCTTTTATTATTGAGTTCCGGGCCGAGTTTAGCTCTATTGAGGGGGCCTTTAAAAATCACGAGCTCACATTATCTGCGATTGCTGCAATATGAGATTTGAGACCAGTTCTCTGCAGCCGCCCCCCAGTGCAAACATAACGTGCGCGCGGCCGTTCAACGTGTAGACGTGTAGAAGTTTCTTGGACTTCGGCTATCTTGCTTCCGAGGGCCGTGACGCACTTTCAGAACTTTCAGTCTCTTTCTTTCCTTCAACATTGAAGGGCGTCCAGCACGTTACGATCTTCAGTTTCCCGTTGAAACTTTCGGAGTTTCGGATGGCTGAATGAGTGGCAGCCGCACAGCTCCGCAGTGTACGGAAAGCCCTGACGAAAGCACGTGCAAGAGCTTTGGTCGGACACTCAATATTGTCCTTTGGAGTTGGCGTTGTCTGGCATGGTTATCCTTTGAGGTGCCATGCCGCCGAAAGCGAAGGCTAAAGCCAAAGGCCAAAGGAGCATGCCTGGCATGCTTCCCATTGAGCCGGGATGTGTCCCCTGTTTTGGGGTCCGAAAACTGGGTATGGTTTGGAGTCCGTGGGGGGTGGCCTCCCTAGTTGCAGCTGCGATTGGTTAGACAGTTAGACTACATGTAGCAGGTTTTCAATTTCACCGTTGAAATCGAATGTGTGTTCAAGAGAAGCAGGAATTGGGTGCTTCACCTTGGAGTTGTCCAGGTGCATCTTGCGAATGACTGGTGGACGGTATTTCTCAACCTGCGTCAGATTTTGTGACTCCAAGAACGAGCTTGAGAGTGGTTTTCCGGCACCAAAATGCGGGCCCAAAAATGGGCCCGTTTTCTAAGCCTTCCTTAATTGTGCCAATACTAGAAGGCTCCAGAAACGGGCCCGAATTCCGGGGCCCATTTTTGGGCCCCGCTTTTTTACACTTTCTGAACACAGTTTGTGACAAAATGCCAGCAAGCAAGTATTGCTGTGAAGGCTACAATCTTTCACAGTTTCGCTTTCTTTTTTACGCAGTCAACATGACAGCTTGAGCTGCTGCAGGTTTCAGAGACAACGACAACAACGCTGTTGTGCAGCTATGCAATTGAGCAAGCGAAGCATGATAATCCGGCACTGGGGAGGCCCACTTTGAAAGGCGCCGTTTTTGAGCAGGTTTTGGGTCCCAAAAGTGGCCCCGAAGCTTTTGCTGGTGAACCAATTTTTTTTATGCCGTGTTTGCGACAGTTGTCAAGCCAGGCGGTGCTTGCCGAGCACGCCAGCAGTCCGGCTTTGGGGCTCTCGACATTTCGCAGCAGGGTCCAGAGTGCTGCCCACATTGTGTTGTTTATCGCAAATTCGGTTTCTCCGAACAATAGAACCACCAGGCGAGTGGGAAAAATGCTATTTCTACTGGAAAATGTGCGCTGCGCCACAGCGGGAGACACAGAACAGAACGGTTTTAAGCGTTTTACAGTAGCGCGACGCGCAATCATAACGTGCTTTAGGCGCGTTATGATCATTTTCGCTGGCAATTTCCAAGGAAACGTCAAAATCGTAACGTGCTTCGTGCGTCAAACAAAGCTCTTTAGTCTTTTTTTGTGGCGCGCGAAGCACGTTACGATTTCGAGTTTCCCCTTGCAAATGCCAGCCAAATCAATCGTAACGCGCCTAAAGCACGTTACGATTGCGCCCCGCGCTACTGGAAAATGCCAGATTTCGTTATCACACAAGCCTGGAACTGTGGAAACAGTGCGATTTCTACGCAAGATGCTGCGAGAGCAGGGCTGGACCTGTGAAAAATACTGCAACTTTGATGGACGATGTGCTAAAGAATACCACAATTTCGCTGTCAAACATGCCTGGGACCAGAAGCGAGCCGGGACCGCCGTGCAGATTGTTTTTGGGCTCCGAGGCAAATAAACCGGAAGTGAAAGCATCAGACGTGTTTCTGCGTGGTTTTCACCCAAGACTGAGACCAAGAGACCTTCCGTGGGGGCTCCGAGGCTTACAAACCGGAAAGGAAAGCATCAGACGTGTTTCTGCATGG